TAATAATACATTTTATATATGGGCACCTCTTAAAACTCCCAGCCCTCTTACAGAGGTCAATAATAAAATCACAATAGAACAGTAAACACAATAGAAACGATACAGTTAACAGAATAAAATGGCTCAAAGAAATAAGCTGCAACAATAAATAACCAGTCATGTGAGATAACGGGAGATAAATGGTAGTTAGAGAGATTTATGGTCGTAATGCAAATGCTTTCCTGCACAGATGTTTTGCGCTGAGATTTAAAGGCAATAATGGAAACTGAATTTCTGAAGTCCTGAGGCAAAATCTCTGATTATATTAGTGTTTTTTTAAGCAGATAAACTGTCTTTAAATAAAAATGATAGCACTTCTATAGCCTTGTGTCGTCTGAACAACTGGAGTTTTTGTCTGTCACACACACACACACACACACACACATACACACACTTCTGTGCTACTGGGGTTTCACATGCGCTGCATTGCAGCTGTTTCCACAAGTGTAACTGGAGTGTGTGTTGGTTGTGAAACCTCTGTCCTGCAGGCTTCACACAGAAAATCAAACCAAGTCAAGGTTGAACAAGAGCTCGTCCCTTCAATCGTAATCAATGTCATTAAAAAAAAAAACACCGTTTTTATTTGTTTAATTTTCTGTTCTCGTGTGCTGATTTGATTTTGTTGTAGTGGAGCAATCCAAAGGGATACGTTGGCAGTCAGCCAAACAAAAGTGCACTACAGGAGGATAATAAAAAAAGAGCAGGATGTGAGTCTTGTCAAAATCGCTGCCCTGAAGAACTGTGTGGAAATAACCAGAACATGTGAGAATATGACACCAGGAACTTGTCTCATCAAACTGACCTGCTGATCTTAGTTAAATTTAATCCCACCAGGTCAGATTTAAAACTTGGAGATTCAATAATTTAATTAAAGCTGAGTTGTATTAAGCATATAATCTGTTCTTATTTCTGGGATTATTACTTTTTGCTGCAGCCTTTAATAAAAATGAAGATTTTTTTTTCTTTTGTATTTTTGTCAGTCTTGTWCTAAAGATGCTGAGTGCTGTAGCGAGCAGCTGTGTGTTTGGGGTCAGTGCAGCCAAAATGCAACAAAAGGAGAAGCTGGCAGCACTTGTCAGCAGCAGACCGACTGCAGCCCTGATCTCTGCTGTGCTTTTCATAAAGGTACGACACGGAACATCGCCACTCTTAAATCAGTCTCCATCCATGCTCTGTCAGGACGTACACGTGTGTGTTTCTGTCGTGTGCTCAGCCCTGTCCATCCCTGTTTGCTTGGCCAAACCCATGGAACGCGAGCGCTGCTACGGTGACTCCAACCACCTGATGGAGCTGTTGTCCTGGGACGTCCAGGACAGGAGGCCCAGGAAACACTGTCCCTGTGCSGGAGATCTTCAGTGTCAGCACCTGGGGTGAGTGCAGCACAATGAATGACTGATGTGTAAAACCTGTTTGTTTTATCCTAAACTAATTATTACTGTGGTGACCTTGTGTTTGACAGGCGGGGGTCCATGTGCCTGAAGGGAGAGGACTCGGGTGAAGAGGACCTGACAGACTCACTGTACTCAGAGATTGATTACATACTTTAAGAGATTTAGTGGACTTTTTTCTTTTGAGAAACATTGCACTTTTGCCACTTAATGTATAGTTGTCACATTTTAGAGCATAAAAAATAGATGAAAATATTTATTCTTAATGTTAATTGTCACACCAGTGTTGTCTTTGAGATCTAAATAGTCTAAATCCAGTTTTACTTATATAGCGTTTATCAGGATAGACTAATACATTTTGTTTTTAATGTTTTATGAAATGCCACTTTTAGCTTGAGCTTATTTTTTTCTTTATTGCTCTTATCTGTTTGATTTACTATTTGTTTTAGGCAGGGCCGGCCCATGGGATAGGCAGTGTAGGCAAATGCCAAGGGCGCCATCCATCTAGGGGACCCCACAAACAGGGGATGAAACCTTATATATATATATA